GAAGGGGGAAGAATAGAAATACGTATTCAATATCCCAACCCAGGCCCGTCTTATGATCAGCAGTACGGGGTACTCAGAGGATTCTCATTAGGTATCCATCACATAATATCATCACCAATACAAAAGGGAAAGAAAAAGCAAAATTGAGTAGTGCAGATCATCAATACAGATCAGGGCGGGGAAGATCTCCCCAGATAACCGCGTAAAGTCCGACATTTTCCCACAATGAGCGAATTAGGAAAGTGTACGAGAGTTGAGTCTTATGATCCTCAGCCATCAATTTCCATCCACTTTTGGGGACCATGCGCTAACCCCGTCACCATATCATTCCAGCTTGTGTTTTACCCTACGACAGGACTGAAAATTCATAGCCGCGGAGAAATTGCGGATTATCCGACAAATCAAATAGGTAAATTAATCATTTCTTCGGCCATTCAGAACTCGTTGCAGCAGCTCGTGACAGGGTGTTTTCTACTCGTCCACAAGCCAGCGAGCGATAAGGGCAACTTTTGTGGGATTTCCAGCTCATGATTACCAGGATAGGCAATTCATATCTAGTCAATTAGCTCCGTCGGTCCGTCACTCTTAGGTCGGTAAAATGCGGGAAATAGGAGCCCGATAGCAAATCCTGAGGTGGTACCTGCGTTCTACTTCCGGTCCCAGCTCAGCTCTATCTAATCCACTTTTGCGGATTCTAGGTTAGCATCTCTGCGAGTAAAATGATCATCTAAAAATTGGGAAAAGGTCCACGAGGCCAAGAGAATCCTTCTGATAGGATAGACTCGGTGTTCTGCCAGTAGTGATCCGCGAGAGTCTCCGGTCCACACAGTAAAGACCTTGATAGCTAGCTGCCGGGCTTGTGCCGGAGCTTTTCATTGAACATAACGACCAGACCAGCTTAGATAAGAGACCAGAAGAACATCAAAACAGTAGTACTCTGGATTGCGCATGTCCATGCATAGATTGTGGAATCTGGATACTCACCGTCGACCACACAAAATACATTATCAGCAGGAACACTTCTTGGCTGTACTGTTGTTGCCAGCTGATGCCGGCCCGGTTGCCGAGATGTTGCCATCACTATCAGGGGTTGGTTCCGTGATTCACCCCACCATTCTCCATACCTCAACTTTAGTTGCAACGATGATAGTGTGGGATGGACCGAAAGCTCACCTCGATTTTTACGGAATACAAACCACCATGAGGGCAGTGCTGGAAAATTGCGAATTCATCTGCTCAAGTAGGACGACTGGCTTCGGAGCACTGAAAAGACTGCAAGAATAATCCAATGCAATTGAAAATGCCACTCTTCCCCGGTCCATTCAATACCGTTGAAGCCAGCTGGACCCTACAGTCCAAAAAGCAATAATGCAGTCATCCCAGTTGATAGCTGCCCCATCTACCCAATGATACCGCTTGATCAACATGAAGGTCTCTCAGAGATCTACCACTAGGAAACAGCTCAGACGGCTTCGTGCATATTGTCCAACTCCCTGGATTCACAACCATCAACTATTCGCTATATTGCATCTTTGCCAAGCTGCTGGTCTACGCGGATTCGAGCCTTGCATACTCAGAATAAAAGACCAATTGTTCCAAGTATTGTTGCCTTTGAATTCACTTCCGCCTTGTATAGGCGTGTAAAGTGCACTTCTTCCAGCATGCTCTCTTCCCGGATCTCCATGATCCAATATGGCGACATATTGAGTAGATCTGGCGAAGCGGAGGCAGATATAGTGCGAACTGATCTGGTGGCGCTTCTCACGGACACTTTCTGCCGGATATGGTAACACACCCTTGCGGCTGGGCGGGGGGGACTTTCCGACCACATGCCCTCCTTTATCCCCTGGGGGCGCCTATCTGTTGGTCTTTTAGAAGAACTACAGTACAGATACCCATGCTACAACTATCAATGCACTGGGTATAGGTTTGATTGGCATGTTGCCACTTTAAATGAATACTATAAACCGCTGCAACGTTGATATAGAAGAGCGGCGGCTATTTAGGGAACGGAGAGTACGGAGGAGCTCCGCTTCAAAATTCTTGGGGCGTTCTTATCCGGTGCCGTATCCTAGACTGGAGGTCTCTCCAGAGTCTTGTCCAGAACCCACGGCCCCAGAAAGGGGAAATATACACGCTGTGAACTGCGAAAGCTGATGGAACCTCATCCGGGACAATGTATTCCGCGGATCTGGGGGATTGCGGAGAAATGGTTTCCGAATTCCTCTTGTTTTGCTGTGGACTTTTCATACTACGATAACAGAGTGGTATTTATTTTATTTAGGATGAGATAGGTACTACCCCTCTGAAGTAGGGGCCACAAGGTGAAACGATGCAGGGTGTCTTTTAGAGAGGATGGTGAAGTACTAGTTCAGGGGTTGAGAAAATTACCTGGACCACTGGTTTGGCTGCAGCAATGCCAGGGTGTCAAGCCAAAGGGCCGAGATGTGGACTCATCTATCTGCAGAGGATTACCAAAGGTAGCAGATAATGCATATGAATATGATGATTTCTTGTTGCTTAACCACAATAGTAAGGTGGAATTTGGCTTGTGTCATGGCTGAAACGAGCCATTCCCCAGTCTGAATACTGTAACAACCCTCGGCCAGTTTGTGATCCTTTGAGCCACGGCATTATCGAAACACTTGCCTCGGGCCTGTTGCTGTTCAATCCATATGATCTATGATCTGGACGATTATGAAGTATGGAGAAGCATATGCGGGTGCCGTACTCCGTACTGCCGACCGCACCTTTTTGGAATGGTGAGGCTGATGCAATGCTCCAGCTTCACCGCAGTACCTTGGTAGATACACAAAGCGGTCATTCCGGCTTATTTTCGTACTCCAACTCAGCCGTGGGATTTGGGCAGAATAGCCACATCTGATGATGAATTTATGAGGTATTGGGTCTCGCTCATTTATCGTATGACTATGCCAGATTGCACCTGCGCTTCCTTGACACCGACGCAACCTATGATCGCTGCCATCCGTCACGCCGGGGATGCTGTTGCTTTTCTATTCGACCTCTGTAATGCTTTGGCTGGCTACTTTCACTTATCTTTGGAACATCCCGTTATCCAACCATCGACCGCTCATGGACGATCAGCTGGTCTGGACTGGGCGGTTCGCCAAGTTCCTCAGCTTCCCCGGTCCTATTTCTGCCCCCCAGACGTGAGACAAGCAAATTGGGGGGTGGAAAGGGTCAGGGAGCATGTAGGTATGATAGGTAGACTAGATATGGAGATCCTTGGTGGCCGTCATCACCTCATTCCTCCATCATTGTCATCATCATCACGTCCCCAAGGTAATTCAGTCATCGCTGAATCTTTTCAAACTATGAAAGGCGAAGTTTGGGGGGAACATAATAACCACACTTAGTCACCGTCCACTCTCAGCCTTCATATGATACCTTATTGTCGAAAAATGAGCTTATCACATGGATCAATTGACCCTTTTGATTGATGTACAGATGATCGCGGAATTAGTTAGTGCGTCCCGTCGCTACTACGTACTAAGGTGCTACCTAATAGCAAGCTAGTAGCTACTATGTATCTACTTATTGATCCCTTCAGGTGTTTATCTGTTTGTTTACCTATCGAGGATATTTCTCCAGATTATCCGCGATAGCCGGAAGCACTGATGCTGAGTGTCAGATCTCAGACCACTAATAGTGAGTATCAAGTATCTAGTACTATTATTATTGCTATCAAGCGGCAACCAATTCCACAGCCACCCCCGTATCTGCTATGATTATTACATGTATCGATTGGGTTACACCCCATAAATGCTACATACTGACCGGCTGACTAACGATGGCTCGCTGTACTCCGTACGGGGCACGCACTTCTCCAGGTCACACAGCCACTTCTGCATTTTTCTTCTCCGTAATCCCTATCGACCCTAGTCCGCCCCACATTCTGGGTTTTCCTCGCTGGGAAGAGATACGTAAAAGGCTTTTTTCTTTTCAACACACTGTGCGTGGTCGAACCAAAAAGACCAACCACTAAGACAGGCAACGATTAAGTACTCCGTGCAGTCATCTCAAATTTTTGTCGCTGGCTAGAGAGAAACATTAGGGAGATACAGTAGGCGCAAAGGAAAAGAAGAAGAAATTTGCAGATAATTTCCCCAGGATATCCAAGAAAGGTTGATTGTCTAAAGGATTTTGTACAGTGAGCAGAGCTGATTCAAGCACGTTTTCTTTACCAGTCCGGAGTATCTCCCTTTTTTGATTTTCATTACTATTATTTTCTTTCTTTTTTCATTTTTGTTTTTTTACCCTTTCCATTTTTTGCCGCCCCGAATTTTTACACCCCACACAACACAAAGTACGTCGTCATTTTTTCTTTTCCTTTTTTTTTTTTTTTTTTTCCCTCTTTTTTTTTTCCTGGTCTCCGATTCCGATAAACCCCCTCCATTCTATACTCCCTTCTGCTTTTTCTCCCCTCCTGAGTCTCCATTTCTCTCTTCTTCCCCTCCATTCCTTATTATTCTCTTCCGGCTGTTCCTTTTTATTCCCCTTCTCTCCCCCAGACCAACTTCTCCAGACTTTTTCCCTCCTCATCTTTCTTTGGACTCTCGTCTCTTTGACTTCACCTACTCGGCTCAACACAAACTGTCAATCCCGGCTATCCTTCCGAATCCGGGTTCGCTATCGCAACACAACAGACCTTCGCTACATACCACATCCCTATCGTCGGGCATCATTGGTTTTGATTCGTGTAGTAGAATCGAAATCCGTGTCAAGCGTCTCGCAAGGCTCGTGATACTCCTTGCGGTATTCTCGGGTTATCTCCCTTGCCCAGGTCGACTCTGGGGCGTTATCGGCTGGGGATCGACTTCCCGGATTAGCCTGAACCCCTGCCGCGATCAGCGCAACTTGGCCTCGGCTTTTTCTATCCCTTCGGATCGTGTTAATATATTAACACTGGTTCCCACTCCTCTTTGCTCTCTTCGGCGTTAAACTAGGTCAAGCGTCACATGCCGCCATCAGCTTCCTCTATGGGTTTTTCTGATCTACTGAACCCTCAGAACCCAGAGTCAACTCCTTCGACACCTGCGAACAAGTCATCGGCTCCCTCCACCCCATCAACTGGACAGTCGAACTCAAACATGACCTCTGTAAGCCTGCTGCCTCCCCTGATGAAGGGAGCGCGTCCGGCGAACGAAGAGCCCCGTCAGGATCTTCCTCGACCTTACAAATGTCCTCTGTGCGACCGCGCATTCCATCGTCTGGAGCATCAGACCAGACACATCCGCACTCACACCGGCGAGAAGCCGCACGCCTGCCAGTTCCCTGGTTGCACAAAGCGCTTCAGTCGATCCGATGAACTCACACGCCACTCGAGAATTCATAATAATCCAAACTCGAGACGCAACAACAAGGCTCAGCACCTGGCCGCCGCCGCCGCCGCTGCCGCAGCAAATCAAGACAATGCTTTGGCCAGCAACGCTGCGTCAATGATGCCACCTCCCAGCAAGCCCATCACACGATCTGCGCCTGTCTCGCAGGTCGGCTCTCCCGATATCTCTCCCCCTCATTCGTTTTCCAATTATGCGGGCCATATGAGATCGAATCTGGGACCTTATGCTCGCAACAGCGATCGTGCATCTTCGGGCATGGACATCAATCTGCTGGCTACGGCCGCTTCTCAGGTCGAGCGTGATGAACATTATGGATTCCACAATGGCCCGCGCGGGCATCATATCTTCGGCTCACGTCATCACAACAGCAACCGCCTCCCGTCGCTCTCGGCGTACGCTATCTCGCAAAATATGTCGCGCTCACACTCGCACGACGAGGACGATATGTACTCGCATCGCGTCAAGCGTTCGAGACCCAACTCTCCCAACTCGACAGCTCCCTCTTCACCTACATTCTCTCACGACTCTCTTTCTCCTACCCCCGACCACACTCCGCTGGCGACGCCTGCCCACTCTCCGCGGTTAAGGCCCCTCGGTACCAGCGAGTTACAACTCCCTTCAATTCGTCACTTGTCACTTCATCATACACCCGCCTTGGCTCCAATGGAACCGCAGCCCGAGGGACCCAACTACTACAGTCCTACTCAGCCCCATGTTGGTCCTAGTATCAGTGACATCATGTCGAAGCCGGACGGGACGCAGCGCAAACTCCCCGTTCCCCAGGTACCCAAGGTGGCCGTCCAGGACCTGTTGAGTCCTGGCTTCACATCAGTGTCGTCCTCGGCCAGTAATTCCGTCGCCGGCGGTGACTTGGCGGACCGTTTCTAGTCAGCCGGAGTCTACATGATATCTCATGTGTACAAAAAGCGGGTTTTCACTCATTCCAAATTTTCATGTGCGTCACGAAATGAATAGACTTGTGCATTTACAGGGTGGTTTCTGGGCATGACACAGGTGTCGGCTGGACGGTGTTCTTCTCTATTTTTCCTCATTTCTTGAATTTTCTCGCAGGGCATCACTACTCTATAGACTGGCGGATTTCGTTCCTGTTCTCTCTAATTCTTTCTTCTTCACTCCCCTTTTCGCTTCTATCAACCATGTCTGAAACTGGCTTTTCAGCCGTTATTCACTATGTTCTCCTCTCCAAGGCTACGGGCCTTTGTGTGAATAATATGAATCATACCATGTCAAACTTTTCCTCTCCTTCCTCTCTTTCCTTTGTGAAATAGATCCAGAATGGTACTGAAATGGGTAGCACTGTTTCGAATCACGCTCATTCTCCCTCTGTAGTTCGTAGGTCGAGCATCTTTCCGGTACATGCCTCGATGAATCCCCGTTGCTGGACTGGCTACCATGTGATTCTTATCGGCATCTGCATGTGATGAATCTCGACCAGGGCCTTGAAGTGATCAAGTGCGGTACCTAGGCTTACCTTAGGGGTTCAAGCAGGAACCAGCCTATGAAATCCGGCCTAATTATCTCCGTCTTTCCATTTGATTTGCATTTTTCGGTTAGACCTGGAGAGATCACTTACATGGTATCCTCCAAGTACTCCGCTTGACTTCAATAATGAGACGCGGCTTGCTGAAGTGCGATTGGTGCGTTCAATCACGCCATGGAGATCATCGAATGTCCCATTCTAGGTCGTTATCATGGCTTTCTCAAGAAGAGTCTATTTCCCGTTCAAGTTAGTTAGAGGAAGCTGCCATATACTCCATTGAAGTTCCCTAAGGAAGCCAAGACACTCGCTTGACTTATCCACCAATGTCATGATGGCCTGATGTCTGCAAATCATAGCTGACCTATCTGTCGTTCTCGCACGATATCGTCAGCCCAACGGGAGAACGTGGCTCCAGTGCGCTGCCTTGAATTGATCGGGCCTTTCCACGCTGGCTAGTATTACTCAGGCAGGATTTGCTTTATGCACCCAGAGCGACTGCGGGTACATAATTCCCTTGTTAGCGTTCGAATTCGAGAGAAGGGTACTGTATCTTTTTTTTCAGTCCATTCTGATAATCTACCTTCTCCTCCTTCCTCTTCTTCTTCTCCTGCTTCTCGACCAGTTGGCTCCCCCGCTACAATGACTGTTAAGGCTCTAAAATCAATGATGGCCGGTGATTACCCCACCCAGATCTCCAAGATCTAAAATCGGAGGAGTTCCCGTGAGGAGTTGTCGCGCGATAGTGCAAGGTATCGCTTCTCGATTTCCGTCAGAAAAATCAAAGAAAAGTATCGATCTTCTTCGCGCTCAGGGGAACCTGGGATGGGGGGAGACACGCCTGCTCCCTCTCGTCGATTCTCACAGGCGCTTATTGTATCTCATATACCAAAGGTAACGAGTGTCTCTCCCCCGCTAGGTCTATTGTTTTCATTTCGCGAACCCCTCAGTCCGATCTGGCTGCGTCTGGGAATGAAATGATGAAAAAAATAACGGTCGCAACCAGGCACTGGGATCCTCCTTCGCTCCATAGTTCCAGACTAAATAAATGACAGCAGGACCGCTTCAGCTGTCGTCCGGATTGTGTCGAGTCGAAGTGTTTGATGCCTGAGACGTCTCGCGGGGGTTCGCTCGGTAACCTCAACCTTGCGAATACTCTCGACGCAGAAAAGAGTACGAGCAGCCATAGTAACCGTGCAAACATGGTCAAATCCGTGGCTTCATTGGATGCAGTCCCGTCCCTATCAAGTGACGCTGCGTCTGCGTCTGCATCATCATCCGGCATGTCCCTGGACACCGGACTGGCCTCCGAACTCGCACACCATGAAATCCTCCAGGACGACGGAAATGGGACTCTCGTCGTGCCTTTGCGCTCCCCACACCGCCGTCAGCATACCTACATATGCCTCTTCCACGTTCTCGACTGCCGTGAGACTTTCGACGACGCCGATCTGTGGAGGACTCATGTTCTCAGCCACTTCCGGACTCACGAGCCACCTACAACGGCCCGGTGCCCATTATGTCCAGGCGAAAGGTTCAACGACGCTCCTGACCGCAGGGCCTGGGACCTCATGCTCGACCATGTCGATGTAGCTCATTATCAGCAGGGTCAAACGTTGGCGGGCAGTCGGCCGGACTTCGAGCTAATGCAATACTTGTACCGCTTACGAATCATAAGTGTTGATCAATTCAAGGTGACGCAACTTCCGCCGCCGCCGACGAGTCCCGCGTACCATCGGTCTCAGGAGACGGTCAGGGCGAATATCGGCTCTTCGGATGAGCCATACTGCGCTCCATACAGTCGAAGGAGGGAACAAAGAATGCGTGGTCAACATCGAGGTGTCAGTGTTTCATAGACGGCCTATCGGACATTTGTCCTGTGGCCAGGCGCTTCGTTTAGACTCGCCAGGAGGTCTGACGGAGCGGAGGAGAGAGGATATGTTTGTCTGGGCTGTTCAGATCCCTCATTAAGTTCGTTCTCTCCGCCTGAGAATGATTCTCAACGCTCAGATATTTGTTGCTTTGCTCCTTTTACCTAGTTTATGTGGCGTTCTATTTTGTTGAGACCATCCATTGGGGCACCGTGCCTGGTCAGGCGGGATGCTATATCACTGGCTGCTTGAAGCACGATTCCTTAAGATACCTTCTTAGTATATAGTAGGGCTTTGATTGATTTTGTTTTTTGTCCATAGTCTCAAACTATGCCTTTCTATTGATATGTCTGATAGTGAGTGTTTTGGAGGATCTGGGAAGCAAGCAAAAATTATATGTTAAGAAGTCATACTGACAAGTGTCTGAACACGGAATTGACATATCATCTCAGTATCTGTCAAAAAGAGAGACGGTGAGCACCAGATTCAGATGTATCTCATGAATATGGGCCGATCGAGCAGTGAATGGAGGCACGGAAAGGTGTTATCTATTAGGCTGCTCTTGTTGTTTTATGAACTGAATCTGTTGTCTGGTCCGAGTTATTGCATTGGAATCTGTATATCATATATCTTCGTAATCTTTGTCTCTGTGATTGTCCGCAGCTCTTTTCTAATCCCTCGATGCTGTCCGAGCAAAATATATCGACATGAAGTAGCGCTCACTGACCTCATGGTACCACTGAGTATCAACACATTCAGGGGCACAGAAAATAATAATAAGATCCAAAATATGTACGATATCCTTATATGTGAGATTCAAAATGCCATGAACCCTAGGTACATAGTGGTATCCATGCACCGATGTCTCGTTGCTAGTAGTATGCCGCTGACCCAACTGGAGCAGTATGTTCAAATAATCAAACAGGACAAACTTGTCGCCCACTTCCACCTTACGATCTCCGATCAAGAGCCAGTAATTCGCGGTCAAGTGCCAACAGCTCGGCATCATTTTATACATTTCTTTCCTCGAGCCTTCCCCTGCTGCAGAATGACAAGATTCTGCGAACACTTCTAATCTGAATTTCTCCCACCAAGGCTTCATCAAGCCTTTCCGTCACAACACACACACGACTCTGCCCCTCCGCCAAACGAATCATCGCTTTCATTGCGCCATCATCCCTGCCGGATAAGCATGGAGAGACTCTCTTTGAACGATCCTCCCGCAGGCGCTCAGCGTGGGAATACACCGCAGTCATTCTCTCAGCAGAATAACATGCTGGGACCCTCTGCACCGATGACACAGGGACCCCCACAATTACCCCCGCAGATGTTCACTACAGCCGCTCAGTTGCTGGACTTGACAGATAGTACGTTGAAGCGATTTGCCTGATCGAAGAAATTGCGATGGTTGCGCGGGCCTGGCTAACGCCTACATAAAGAGAAATTGGTTTTAGTGCTGCGAGATGGGAGAAAACTGATCGGCGTGCTCAGAAGTTGGGATCAATTCGGTATGATCTCGGGCAGAAACGCAGGGCTTCTTTGGCCTCTTTTTCAAATTAGCTAATCATGAGCCATGGCCACAGCGAACCTTGTCCTCCAAGATACCATTGAACGACTTTATGCCGGAAATCTCTACGCCGATATTCCGCGAGGCATTTTCCTTGTCCGGGGAGAGAACGTGTTGCTTCTGGGTGAAATTGTATGATGGACTTCTCTTCCTTGCGGCTGCTTTGCCTCTCTTGGTCTTTTTATTCGCTGACTCTCCGGGCTATAGGACCTCGACAAGGAAGACGATATTCCCCCTCATCTCCAGAAAGCGCCCTTCCAAGAAGTGTTTGAATTAAAGAAGAAGGAGGACAGCAAGCGGAAGATCACGGACAAGAAGAGTCATAACAGACTCCAAAGTCTCGGTTTCGAACCCGAGCACAGCGGGGAGATCCTATTTTAGCCGTTGACGTCGGATCCGCTTATGTTCGACCCCTCTCTGAATGCGTCGTTTCGTACGATTGCAAGAAAAGACGCAAAATATCGTTCTGTAAGAGATCACGGGTTTCGTTATATCGACGGCCGAGATCACAAGGCATGCCCTTCAAACAACATTACGGGGGCAAGGCAGTCTCTTCTTGACTCTCTCGCCACACGACGACAGCACCGGAAGGGAAGGGAAGGACAGAAATATGGGGAGGGTTAGACCCATACGAAATAGAGCTGGGAGGTCTTCAAGTTAAAGACAGCCGTTGCAGCCAATACATGGGATAAGGGATGTGAGATGCATATCTCCAATGATCCCGAGGCGGAAGCAATGTCTGATGATCTGTGTGTTCTGACATGACTTTTTTTTCTCTATATTTTATATGCAGACATTGTGAGCCGGAAGACGTGGAGTTCATCGGCATGATCGGGTTTTGTTTCGAGATACCATGATAGCGAGACATGAGAGAACGCTTTCGAGCTCGACACCTCATGTTTGGATCCTTGTTACGTCTGCATCTTTACACAAATCATAGCAGATATTACGAGTGATAAATTCTTCTATACCTCTCTACTGTTGTTGATGTTATCGATAGGCCCGCCAAGAATCGCAGTACCCAAAATTTTGTTCGGACCACTAAAATCGTAGTAAAAAAATCTCCGCATCCACCACCACCTCTTTTTTCTTTTGCAAGTCTCTACCCTCAAGACGATAATCATCGCACCTCTCTGAACGACTTCTCAACTGCCCGTTGGTCGGTCCTTCCCATAATGGCGACCCTGGCGGAGAAGCTCGAGAAGATCAAGTCTCCGAAGCTGCAGAATCAGCACCATGTATGTCCCCTCACAAGCTTCCATTCACCGACTTCCCCTCCCATAGCTTGCTAACGGACGAACCTTGTCATCTTAATAGACGGCTGTGGTGCTCTCTGCGGTGGAAGATACACTTCGCGACCAAAAGGCAGATTTTTCCGCGACAGCTTATTTCGCAGCGCTTCTTGCGTTGTTGGCGCAGTCCGTGTCAGCTACTCAGGGTATTGTCAACAAAGATTTAGCAACCTCCGTCGTCTACCTGCTCGATATCACAACGGAATACGTCCCTGCGCCCATCCTCCGCTCGAAGTTCTCTCAGATCCTCACCAGCCTTGCTCCCGCGCTCTCTCTGCCGGAAGTCGATGCTCCTCTTCTCAGACCATCGATTGGCTGCCTCGAATCGCTGCTCATCGCCCAGGATGCTGCCTCATGGAACCTCCCGCACACACAAATTGGCCCGCGTCGAGCGATTGCGGGACTGTTGAGTCTGGCGGTGGACCACCGACCCAAGGTCCGGAAGAGGGCGCAGGAAGCTCTCATCAAGGTCCTCAAGAACCCTCCCCCCAGCCCTTCGCTCGACCACCCCGCGGCGGACATGTGCGCAGAGACAGGACTACGGACACTGGGCGATAGCATCGCGGCTGCGGCCAAGCACAAACGGGGGCGTCATGATGCGAACAGCCGGGAGAACCACGATCCCCTGGTAATCCACTCCCTCCAGCTGGTGAAGACGATCGCGACCGCATCGGGAGGCTGGCCAAGCAAGAAGATTGAGCCGCTTTGTGAGTTGCTGATGAATGCGTCTCGGTCCAGCAACGAGTTCATCACAATGGGTGCTTTTGAAGTCTTTGAAGTCATCTTCTCCAGCATGGCGGATGAATTTTCGTCTTCGAAGCTGCCCCGTCTTCTAGATGCTATCTCCGAGCTCAAACCCGCTCAGAACGATTCGCAGCTGCTCCCTCCCTGGATTGCGGTATTGTCCCGTGGATATGATGTGTCTGCACAGATCAACCCAGAGGATACGTTTGAAAAATTGCCGGCTCTGTTTAACATGATTTCGGGCTACCTTGCTTCGCCCTCGATGAACATCCGTGTTTCCGCCTCGGAATGCCTGATCTCTTTTTTGGCCAACTGCATCCCCAAGAATGTCATTCTCGAGCCTTCAGTCTACGATGAAAAGACCCTCGAGAAGCTTGCCAAAGCTGCAAAAGACCTCCTTTCAGTGAAGTACCAAGCGGCATGGGCTGAGGTGTTCAAAGTCTGCTCTGCAATGTTCGACAGCTTCAAGTGGCGGTCGAGCCCGTTCCTTGACGATATTGTCAAGATAATTGGGGACCTACGCAGTAATGAGTCGTTCCATGGAAAGAAGCAGGCTGACGAGGTCCTCGGCAGTGCCGTTGAAGCTATGGGCCCTGCGGCGGTACTGGAAATCCTTCCTTTGAATATCATTCAGCAGAAGAATGGCCAGCCCGGTCGCGTGTGGTTTCTTCCGATTCTTAGAGACAGCGTTACCAACACCAATCTCGCTCACTTCCGCTCTGAGCTTGTTCCTCTGAGCGAAGCATTGTACCAAAAGGTCGTCGACTATGGGGCTGCGGAGAAGACCGTTGAGAAGAAGATTTTCGAGACGCTCGTGCAGCAGACCTGGGCCATTCTTCCTGGCTACTGCGAGCTTCCTCTAGATTTGGTCGAGGCTTTCGATCAAAGTTTTGCAGAACTCTTGTCCAACGTTCTTTATAAACAAACCGAGCTGCGTGTTGATATATGCAATGCCTTGCAGACCCTAGTCGAGTCGAATCAAGCTATTTTGTCCATTGAGTCCGAAGAGGACGACCTGATTCTCCAGAGGAGGATCACAAAAGCGACTGCGAAGAAGAACATTGCCCACTTGGCTGGTTTTGCTAGCAATTTACTCGCTGTGCTGTTCAACGTCTACAGCCAGACACTCCCGCATTACAGAGGCTACATTCTGCAGTGTATCAATGCTTATTTGAGCATTACCCCCGAAAAGGTTAGCCAATCTCTATATTCAATCTGACGAATGCCATTAACTCACATGAACTACAGGAGCTCAATGAAACATTTGCGCGTGTTACCTCTATGCTCGAGTCCTCTGTGGTGTCAGAGCAGGAAGCAGCCAAGCAGGGCAACCAGCAGACCGGCTCTGGCGACAAGATGCCTCCCACTTCTCACACTCTGATCGACTTGGTCATTGCCATGTCGATCTACCTGCCCCGCTCAAGCTTTGCAAGCCTGTTCGCACTTGCTGCAGCTATTTTGAATGGTCAAACGACCGATCAGCAACTGATTAAGAAAGCTTACAAACTAATTCCCCGCTTGGCGACCACGGAGACTGGCCGCACTGCTCTCCTTGAGCGCAGTGCAGAGCTTCAGTCTCTCATGCTTGAGACGGCAGACAAGACGCCCGCCTCTGCCCGTCGGGATCGAAGCCTAGCTATCTACGAGCTGATTACCTACCTCCCAACATCTGATCTACACTTTATTCCTTCCATCCTCTCAGAGGTTGTTCTGGGTTGCAAAGAGAGTAACGAGAAAGCCCGGACAGCCTCCTTTGACCTTCTCATCCACCTTGCTAAGCGGACCATTGATTCCGACCGGAACCCGCCAGGAACTAAGATTCGCAACTCTCTGGTGCCTCATATGCCCAACGACGCCCCCGATGCCCCAGCGACAATCGAGGAGTTTTTCACTATGGTCTCCGCTGGTTTGGCTGGTAGCTCGCCGCACATGGTCGCTGCCTCCGTCACAGCCTTATCCCGCCTTTTCTTTGACTTTCACACTCAACTCGAGCCCTCGGTCCGCATTGACCTGGTCCAGACAGTGGAGTTGTTCCTTACAAGCAACAACCGGGAAATCGTTCGGTCCGTCCTCGGCTTCGTCAAGGTTGCTGTTGTCGTCCTCCCCGACGACGTTCTGCGTCCCCGCCTGAATACTCTAGTCCCCAATCTCATGGTTTGGAACAAGGAGCACAAGGGTCGTCTCCGCAGTAAAGTCAAGGGTATTTTGGATCGCTTGATCCGCCGGTTTGGCGCTCCTCTTATTGAAGGACTGGTCGGCGAGGCCGACCGCAAATTGGTGGTCAATATCCGGAAGCAGCGCGAGCGCCGCAAGCGCAAGAAGAAGGAAGGCGAAGGCGCCGGTGACGAAGACGAGGAGGACGAGGCGGCCGACAACGCCGGCAAAGCCGCCTACAGCAACGCTTTCGACAAGGCCGTCTACGACTCAGATTTCTCCGATTCTGAGGACGACGCCAGCGAGATCGAGGTCGACGAGCAAGGTAACACCCACGTTCGCGGCCGCAAGGGCAAGAAGGGCAAGCAGAACGAGCAGTACATCCGTGAGATGTCCCCGGAGGACAACCCGCTGGATCTCCTGGCTCCCGACGCGTTGGCCAGCATCTCTACCACCAAGCCCAGCGTCCGCTTCCTCAATACCGGCCCCGGCTCCCGGAAAAAGCATGCCGCCAAGTTCGGCCCGGACGGCCGCCTCCTCATCGGCGATGCGGAGAACGACGACGTCGACATGTCCGGTGCACCTGGCGGCGACGCCGCCCCAGGCGAGAGCGGCATCAACGCCTACCTGGCCGCCGTCAGCGGACCCGACGCCATCCGCCGCGGCCAAAAGGGCCGTCTCAAGATGTCTCAGGCCCAGAAGAAGAAGAACAGCGGCGGCGACGGCATGGACCTCGACGACAACGACAACGACGACGAAGCCCCGGCCTCCGCATCCAACCATGGCAAGGGCCCGCAGTCCACCCGTCGCGGGCTCGGAGTGCCCAAGACACATGGCCCCAGCGCCAACGGCCGGATCCAGAAACGGAGAAATCCTCCCAGGGGGGGAAGACAGAGCGGACGCGGCGGCATCCGTGTTGGGAAGAGACGGTGAAGGTGACGATGAAGTGGGCTGCCTGCTTCTTGCGAGGCAACTGGCAGTATTTTTCAATGCTGATGTACGGAGTACGGGCAATGACCACATAAAACACTGGGACCTGGGACTTGAACATGAACAAATGGTATTACTGCATCTTGCACACAGACAAAATATGGCAATCCTCTTTTCCGTTCCTTTTCCGTTTCTCTTCCAGGGCGTACGACCTCTGCATTATTTTTTTCTCATTCCATATTCTTTTATCTGATGTCCTGTTGTCGGTCCGACTGGTATCTTCTATACCCTTTTCTATGCCTATGCCTCATATGCGATTCCACTTGTTCATTTCAGATAGATTGACGTATCTATCCTAGGCTGAAAGAACAATCCAAAAAGTATTCTTGACCCTACCTTTCATAAATCGGAATTCGAATGCAGGTGTCTAGTCCGTAGCTGCAGATCCGACTTAAGCGCTGTGAGTCTTTAGAGGATTGCCATAAAACATGGCTAAAGGAATTGATAGGTTAACAAAATGGTAAGTAAAATAAGAAAATCTAAGATATATTTCGTCGATTGATAGAATATGATGGGGAAGACTTAGAAACATGAGACCAGCCCGGGTATCATTCTGCGCGCAATAGCAAAAAATACAAGTACAATAGAGTAACAGTCCCCTGATGCCATGGTGTTTTCTGATGGATGCCAACATGATGATCAAGGGTGCTCCTTCACACAGAAAAGAGCACGAAACTCCCGACGCCCTGGTACAATCAGACCTCCAATCTTCTGTATAAGTAGTAGAGGAGAGCGGATATCATGAAGAGGGAAAACGCAGGAAAGGAGAAACAGCTGCCAATTGGCAGGCCAAGTCATTTCACATATCCCAAACATTGGTATCATGCCAAACAGCGAGACGCGTGGATGAAGAATATCGGTCGGACCATCAAAAGACCCGCGCTCAGAGATCATTAGGAGGAAATAACGAGGAATATGAACTCGATAGGTTAGCGAGGCGCCTTTCTGGCTCTGCCCAGCCACAAGTGCCACCATCGACAGACGCCGAGAACCGCGGCACGGCCATCATCCTTGCGCTCGGTGCCGTCGGGATTGCCAAGGATCATAGCAAATACCCAAAAGAAGGCAGCAGTCCAGGCGAGAAGGAGGAATGCGATCGACAGCAAGGAGGACAGCAGAAGGACCATTAATAACCCCCCCACAGAATAACACTCCATTGCTTCAGCACGAGATGAGTGTTCGGTATCATTATATATTGATTCGGTGGACCTTCGCAGGAGGACTAATCGCTCGTGGATGTGCAACTGAGGCACTAGAAGATCGCAGAGCTGCGCACGAAACGACGTCGAGCGAAAATAGGGAACGAAGGAGCAGAGACGAAGGGGAGACACGAGGACGACGAAGATCAGACCGAAGACAGTATATAAGGATGTGCAGAGGGAGAAGATCGGGACAGGAAAGGAGAGTCGAAACTATACAATGGTAGGACCGGTCAGCCTGATCTTACGTCTTTGCGGAAGGGCTGGACGGTTTGGGATGGGGCTTACCAGCATCGATAGCGCATCCTGACTCTCATCCACGAGAGAGTCGTCTTCAGGTATGGCTCTTTTGTGGACGCGGGGAGCGCTGTGAGGATGATGATCGCCGGACATGTATGATGAATGGTCGGTCCAACTGCCACGAATGCGCTCGTCTTTGCGCACAGCTCCGTTGCTATTGATGCAGTCAGTATGAACCTTTCCTCAACGGTCGAGGGGCCACGAACGTCACCGGAGTCACCACTAGTTGCTCAGAGACCGGATAAACAAATCCAACTGGCACCTGATTATAGTTTTCGAGCTTCCGCAATCCCTGGCTGTGCCGATGGTGATCGTCTGAAGTATTGGTCGTATCGGGAGTAGCGTACGAGCCAGAGTCGTGCATAGAACGTAGATCCGAAGGGGCTACATCGGCAACACTCCTCTGGGTCAGAGATTGCCGAGAGGACGACGATTTGGTAGGGAGATGTACCGCAGCTGGAAGTGTGGCAGGGGTCTGTACATCTTGGAGATATGCCGTCACAAGCTGATCATTGTCCTGATAGTAAGCAGGAGAGTGAGACATCTCCGGCTGCCGCATGGCGGGCGAAGAATAGAAGGCAAGGAAAGTATATATGAGAAATTTTGGTGGAGAAAGCCAAACAAGGGCCAACGAGAGATATTTCCACTCAAGTATGCGGCGGAAGGTGCACCAAAGTTGTACAGGAGTGCACACAAGGTAACCAAGACAGGCTCACCGCATGGTGTCAAATGCAAGGGATCCAGAGCTCTCAAAGACACGGACGAAGCACTGATAACATGTATCTAAGGCAGGAAGGAGGGAAAGATGGTGATGAAAGGGGGGAAGTGAGGGGAGACCAGTAGCAAGGGAGGAATGTAAATGGGGAGGGACAATGGGAGGAGCGGAGGATAGGAGAAGAGCCTTATAAGAGCGCCATAAAGACACAAGGGAAGTTACATGAGCGGAAACCCAAGAAACAGGAAGAAATGAAGACTGTCTTGGGGACCCTAGGAGGGGGTGAAAAAAGGCGGCGCTCTGCAGCGGAGAGAATCACTGCGTGAGCCTGCCTTTTTTGCGCCAAGACGCCCAGATGCCGAGACCCTTGGCATGGCCGACGTCAAAGAACAGTCACATTATGATTTGACCAGGAGACTTGAGGAGTCATCCAGCGTGGCTGCGTGGAAGAGACAAGAGCCAAGGAAACCTGAGAGCGAAAGGGGAGGGACTCCCTGTGATGGTGGACAAGGCAAGTCAACGGTTTCCGTCTCATATCATCTTGTAAGGGTCTCATCAGCAGACGAGTTCTTCACTAATAATTCTTCCCCAATGATCTTTGTGTGAAGACCGAGATTTGGCATCTCCAAATTGACAGAGAGATCTGTTTCGTGTTGCACGTACGAAACAAGAGCCGAAGGCCCGCACGGCAGAAGCCAGAGTACCTTTCTTTAGAAGGATTTTCCCTTTTGGGCGGGGGAAGATGCGAAAATGTTGAGACACCGACACCTCCGAAGACGCTAACGGTTTGGTACGGTATCAGGCTTACGACGACCAGAGGACATGCCAAGCTGCCAAGGCACTGCGGGGGCTTTTTGTGGTACCCAAGCGGATATGGTTGGCTAGAAGACCGTAAAAAGAGGGCCATGATCCGCGTTCGGAGGTGCCATCGCTGGCTTGGCAGCATCTCGTATGGTATCGTGCGTACGCCGGATAGCCGGTTAGGATTTCCTGCATTTGGCAGAACTTTAGAAGTAAGGAAGGTGTCGAGGCCGGCCACGATAGAACCTGGTCGATAAATTACTTGTACTGACTCCTGCACTCCGTTGGATCTTATGGGAATACAGATAAACCCATCCAATGACTCGACGTATCTTCTATGATCCTGAAGTTCGTCATTAGAGAACACATTACACAGAGATTAAAGCCGACCTCGGAAAGGAGGTCTCGACATGGAACTTTGCGCCGAGCCAGTCGCCCAGCCCTGCCGAGAGATTGCCGTGAAATACGTATCCATCACTGTCGCCGAAGCAGAACTGGCTGGTGCAACATGCTTTAGTTGTCTGAATATCATTAGGTAAGCGTACTACCTATTGGAGTTGATCTCGTCGATCATACGGATGCACCGCCGAGGTTGCCAGCATATGATCTTCATCACCTAAACATAGAGCTGTTTTCTCGCACAGCTTGTCCGAACTCTGAAGTCTGGACTTGAGCTGCAATCTCTCCGGGGGCTTTGGAACATATCGCTCCATGAAACATCCCATCAGCCACTTCGCGGGATATCGCTCCCAGAACGACCTCGCATTTGACAGTGTTTCATCCGCATGGCATGGCGATTCACCGCAGGCAAAGGGTGGCCTGAGCTCGCCTGAGCTGGCATGGATGTGCATAATCATGTGAAACCCTTTCCTCCTCTTGTCTGGGCACTTTGCGAGTGTTGGGTCGTTACCTTTCACGGCGGCCGACCCATTCTTGGCTTCTCCAATCAATTCGACGCTGAGACAACGGCGATGGTGCCTATCTATTCGGTGTATCAGCTCTCCTTGCTCGAGAGCAAATGCTACCCATTCAGGCTAATAGGACCCCTGCAGGTGGCTGTTTTGCGTGGTTTTTGGCGATATAAAGCCCGACTGGGCTGTAAGTCACCTAGGCACGTCGGAATATGCCGCCTGGATATCCGGAGATACAATCCCGACTTGCCAGGTTTGTATCTAGTCAGCCCTGTGTGAACAGATGGTCAGTATCTATCTTCATATATATATTTTCATATATATGCTATGTTGCTTGGAGCTTCCTTTTTCGCTGGTGTAAATCTCTCAATATTCAGTGGACTCTTGATGCTCCGTGATATCGTCAATTCTTCAAAATCATTAATATATTAGCAATGCATATACTTGTATAAAATCAGCGTTTATTCCCAAGCCGTATGATCCTGTCTGTAAAGAGGCAACGGTCACAGAACCCACACGGAATTCTTGTGGTCAAGGAGCGCAACGACCATACTTCAGCCAGCATAGAAGTTCCTGCGCTAGCCACGTCAGTCCTCAACGACAACTCTTGACGGGAATGATCAGCTTTACTCTGCTATGTGTAGTCGAAATACGTATTCATTACATCCAGAGATCAAGGTAATCTTGAACGAATATATTGGAGATGGCGTATTGAAGAGACAGTGGCACTCTCTGTGAAGTCTCATTATGCAAGGTAGCGTCCCCTTTCGACCAAGTTCAAGAAAGATCACAATATGCCAACACTAGAACTAGGGGATTTAGTTCTACATTGCTGCTTTCTACTTTACCTTTTGCTGATTGAACATACACAGAATCGCAGGCTCAGAGAGGTCACTGTTCTAAGGGATGTCAAGACATCCTGGCTAAGGATGACAGCAACCAACTCAAAGCTTAGACAAAGCACAGCAACTCCTCCAATGACTATTTTGATCATTAATTGTTTGCCTGTCTAACCGACCATGAGCATTGCAAGAGCTATGAAAGGTCGGAGTATAAATCCAACTCCGTGATGCAAGGATTAGCGTCTTATAGGACAGCAGAGGGCACATTAACCATGACCGCAAAGACTTCAGCTGCCACCAGGAGGAAGGACATGGGTTGCTAGTTCCTGTCTAGCAAACCCTGCATTGAGCATTTATGGTATCAGCCAGTATGATGAGTTTGATGGTGCACGTCGTCGCGCATTCAACTCAGCATGAACAAAGAATAGCCCATATGGCTCCTAGCATCCTTTTCACTACAAATTGACGAGCTGTGATAGCAGTCGTCGTCGTGACATATGTAGAGGAAGAGCATCCACACCATACAGTCAGGTGGCTCAGTCTTACCTCGTTTCCGGTGCCATACTGCATCAGCTTCAGGCGTGTGTTTGTTGTTGACCTCTCCCCGTCCTTGAGAAGAGTAATCGTGGCCCTTGACGCCGGAGACAATATCTACAAAGGCCCACGCTACACTGTGAGCTGGCCAATTTTCCAGTCCACCACACTGTTTACTGAGGAACTGGCTTAGTATGGTAGATGCCTCTGGCGGAAGCGGAATTCACATTGGACATTGCTTCAGTAGGTCACCCCAAACAAGTATGAGCGCCGTTGATCTCGGCAATGCTAGATGCACGTCCATTCAATGCACGCTTGGGAGTCGGGGTATGTCAGGGCTGCTGACTTCTGGGCGATCGTCTGATCTATCGGATCGCTCTTCTCAAGGCATGTAAAGCATTGTCTGTGATAAGGCGCATCGCTCCTCAAAGTCCTTTTGTCTCTGCACTGACCACATGGAACTGAATTCGTCCATTAGCATCTCAGCTTGAGTCAAGATATTACCTTTTTATTATCAACTTGGATTTTAGGTATTCAGATAACTGCTTGGTGCCATTCTGAATTCGTCTCATATACCTCTCATGAGATCCGAGGAGTGTAGATAAACCTGTGCGTAGAGGAAAAGCTACTAGTGTTTAAAGGACTGACTGAACTATATACACAGCAAGAAAGCTAGTAAGCGACTATATAATGGATTAGCAAGCTGTAGCTACATAAGCAGAATATACTACATTGAACATACAGCTAAACAAGCTAAAGAAATCATGTCTGACATCACAAAATTCGGCGCACCTGTGTCTCATGACATATGGGGTACAAATGGTTGCAAATAATGATCAAAAACACTTACAGTAAATGCCATTATGCAAGATGTCAGTTGTCTAGACCACCATCTGAATCCGATGCCGCCATGCAAGGTGGTCCCGCAAGGCTCAAGCAGTAAAAGTACGCTTGGCCCATGCGCTATACTAATCGAGTCCACGAACCAAATTATTATTACAAAGGAACTACCTAGTTGCTTCTAATCAGACCCTAGAGGTATCACCTGTGTGTGCTTGGTTACTCCAGAGTTGATAGGCAGAATAGTAATCGAGGGAATGCCGGTCTAGGTGACTGTAGACTATGGCGCTGTGGCACATTGATGGCGCTGTCTAGGCCAGATTCCTTCCGTCCATTGCGCTGGCGGCTATCCAATCAACGAGGAGACTATTAGCCTTAGATTTCCTGATTCTGTGATGTCTGCATGCTGGGAAAGTATCATCTAGAAAGTGGGAAAAAGGAAAAAAAGACCTAGCGAGTTAATCTGCACACTGCATCCTGTCGTGTAACCTGCAGGCTGTAGAACTGGACAGGAATCATATTGACAGCTGGATCTGTCTTTATCCTCTTCCTCCTCTTTCCCCCCTCCATTGTTGGCTTTGCCTTGATCGGCATTATTCGTTAATTGATTTCTTTCAAACTTTATTATCTTGCTGCTACTTACTCCTTGTGTTAAAGTAGTGGCCAAGGTATGCTCAGTACTTGTTGACAATCTAGTAGATAAGGTGATTGACGCAAACGGGCGTCATTATTGTAGATCTTCCTCATCTGCATTATTGCTCTTTGGTGTCCTACTAAGCCATGGAGAAGCTAGGATAGAGCCTTGTCTTCTATAGATTAAAGTAGAATGGAGATGCTAGGACTGTCCTTCCAGGGGTATCATAACATAACTATGTGCAACAGTGCAAGTATCCACATGCCAGCCTATCTTGCACAC